CTGGGGATTGAAACACTTATTCCATTGAGCCATCTCCTTGGACCCTAAAAAGGCTATGTTTTTAGTTTATAGTATTTGTTAATTTTTTTTGGAAGCTGGGTCTTTTTATTCAGTCCAGGTTGGCCTTGAATTCATTGTGTAGCCCAGTCTGATTTTTGAACCAGTGCCATCTTTCCTGCCTTATGCTCCTGAGCAGTAGGATCGTAGGCATAGTCCTGGCTCAGCAGGTTAATTATTTGTTTTTGCTTTTTTGAGACAGGGTCTTGCTATATAGTTCAAGCTGCGTCTGGACTAAGCTGGCCTTGAACTTGTGGCAGTCCTGCTTCAGCGTCCCTAGTGTTGGGGTTACACACATGTGCTACCCTGCCCAATTAGGTTAATTCTTAAATGCTGCAAACTGACTGGATTGTGAGCTGTGTATGCCTGTAATCCCAGCACTCTAGCACTTAGAAGGCTGAGGCAGGGTTGCTGCAGGTTTGAGGGCAATCTGGGCTACATCATGAATCTAGGCCAGCTTGAACTACATAGTGAGATCCTGTCTGAAGAAAAAAGGAAAAAAGACTGACTTTGGTTGTTTGGCTTTTTGACAGTGTTTTAGAGCAGTTCCAAGAAGCTCATTGTTTCCAGTTTAAATACTGGCTAACGGTCTGAAATCTGAGGCTTTGCTGGCAAACAGAGCAATAGGGTATCCTATTTGTAGAACGTCTCTTGGATGGTATTTGGACATATTTTTTTACAACACAATTGAGGCTGGATGTGGTGGTGCATACTTATTATCATAGCCTTAGGTGGCTGAGACAAAAAGATTGCTGAGAGTTCAAGGCCAGCCTGAAGTACATGGTAAGACTCTGACTCAAAAAACAACCCTCCTCAAAAAGAAAATACCCCCCCCCAAAATCAGTTGAAGCCAGACATGGTGGTACATGCCTATAATACCGGTAGTCAAGAGACTGAGGCAACAGGAGAATCACTAAATTCAAGGCCAGCCTAAAATACATAATATTTCAAAAATCCAAAATAGACAGTTGAAAAAGCAGTTTGAGGCCAGTCTGGGCTCATAGTGAGTTCAAGGCTTACCCAAACTACATAACTACATACTGTGTCTCAAAAAATCAAAACACAAAATTCTCCCAGAGATCTATTGTAATTGTTTCTTTTTTTGAAAAAAAAAGTACAAGTTTTAAGTCCTCTGGTTTGCTTTTTTTCTGTTGTATTTACTTAGGTTTTAGCTTTTCTAACATCTGAGTCCATAATGTGATTTTTGCTAGAAGGTGCAGGCAGTGCCTTTGGTAGCTGCAGGCACTGGTAGGATTGTCTTGTGTATTCTGCTTGACTCTTTTTTTTTTTTTTTTTTTTTCCCGGAATCGGGGATTGAACTCAGGCCCTTGCACTTGCCAGGGAAGTGCTTATTCCACTGAGCCATCTCCCTGGCCCCTCTACTTGACTCTTGAGTAGATTCTAGGTCTTCCTCATGTACACTGTGCTCTGTCTGGGGAATAGTGGAGGTGCATAATGTGAGTGAACCTGTGTCACCTTTTTTTTTTTTTAATTTTTATTTATTTATTT